AATTAATAAATTATTATTTAAAAAATAAATTATAAATAAATAAATTAAATTATTAATAAATAAATAAATGACCAAAACTTTGGGAAACATAAAATAGTGGAACAGAAAATAAAGAATAAATCAAGGAATCGTAGGGGGGGAAGCTCTTTTCACTGGCAATGATACAATTAGCAATTTTTCTTTTCTTTTCAGCGTGTGTATGTGTTTTGTGTGTGCATGTACTTAAGTATGTACTTACATGTTCTGGTGTGTTCCTCCATGCAAGCACATGTGGATGCAAAACATCAGTGCCACAATGTCTTCTTCACTTCTTTCTCCACCTTATTTTTGGAGACAAGATCTCTCATTGAACCTGGGTCTATTCCTTCCAGTTATGTTGATTGGCTAGTGAGTCCCAGAGATCACTTCTTCCCATTTCTCTGTGCTGGGGTTATCAACTATGTGTGGCATTTATTTGGCTACTGGGCAGCTAATATCAAATCCTCTTGTTTTTACAGTAAAGATCTTGTCCACTGAACTCCTTATCCCAATTTTCTTAATTATCATGTAAGAAAGCATTTTCTGCCCAGTATGTGTTGTCAAGGAATACCATGCTACCCAAAATAATCAGTCATGTAAAGAACTTTAGCTCATGTTATTATATTTCTGAGGAAATGAGCATCATTTCAGTACCGTAAGGGTTACCCTGGTTGGAATTAGCCAACAACATTACTCAAATATGTGGTTACCAATATTACAGTGGTAGATTCTGTGAAAAGAATGTCTACTGTGTGCAAACTCTGCAACAGAGCATCCCAGTTTTCTCATGATTGAGTCACCAGGGGAGCTGATGGAATCAGTAAGTATTCATTTCGGACAACCCACAAGCCTTAAAGTTTTATTCAAACAGTAAGTTTAAATAACAAAATTTGATTTGCATATGTGTGCCTCTGTATTAATGGTATGCCTGTGGCTTGACACTAATTTGGTATGCATTGGATTTTTTTTCTTTATTTAAAAGCTTTATAACTAATGCAAAGATGGAAGGAAGTACATTTACTGGTGTGGTAGAACAGTTGAAATAACTTCCCACACTATAAAAAATCATTTTAAGGCTATGGTCTTAAAAATCTGACTCACTGGAATTTATAAAGAATATAATTTATCTCTATTGTCTTGTAAGCAGTTACAAGCACCAACATGTCACTGAATTTTTTATGATTCTCTAGCTGCCATTGTTCTCTGGAAGGATATAGGTATTATTTAGTGTTTCAGTCTCCATTTCTCCCAATTGCCACTTCATTGTTTTGCCATTGGCCTTTGCCAGGGGCCATTACATTTTTTTTTCTTGGCTTTCTTATTTGTTTCCTCTCCTCTATTTTTTTTTTTTCGTCTCAGGTAATCATGGGATTATTAGTTTCCTGAAATTTCTCTGAAGGCCTATGACGAAAAGCATATACAGCAAGAGACTGGAATTGTGAGGAAAGATTTCATTAGCACCTTAAAGGGAAAGATGATGGTATTTTAATTTACTTTAGATAGGTTATCAGCCTACTGTCTAAGAAGACCACTAATGAACAAATTCACATATTAGTAGATATAAGGACAGGAAGTTTCCAGTATCCCTGGATCTTAAAAGAAAGCACCGTCAATAGACTAGAAATGAAATGCAAACCTCTGACAATACCACTGAAATATCTATCTGCAGGCTTTCAGCTGAGTCCATATCAGGTATTTTAATATCAGACTTATTAGTGAAGCCTGAAAAATGTTTACAATGTTATTTTAGGAGAACAAGATAGAAATTTGAGAGTGTGAGTTTCCATAGTCCACAAACTACACAAAGGCAAAACAAATTCAATGAACAAACTCTAAGGACTTCATCAGGGAAAAGCAGTTTCTCCTTGCTCCTCATTCCAGTGACCTCTACCCCTGACTGCTCAAACATGCTCCAGCATTGCCCTTTGCATAACATCTGCGCCTCTACAAATGCCTTCTTGCATATTCATTGATTCACTGCCCAACAGGTCTGAAATGCCCTCTCATTTCTTATCTTCATATTTCCTTACCATATAATATACTTTCCAAGATTCTAGGAATCACTTACTTTGTGATGCTTTCTCCAAAGACCTTGGTGGGATATCAGTTGCTTATTCCAGTCTACTATAAACTATCTTTCATATGTAATTACCTGAATTCTTACAGTGTGTGGTAATATCTCTCTCATTGAACTATGCTTCCTGAATTCCATTATTGAAATAAGACAATATTTTACCTGTTAGTTGTTTCTAGCTCAAATCATTTCACTGTTCACTGGTGAATGTCAATAATTCAGATTAATAAATGTACAACATTTCACTTCTCAATTATTTTTACTGTTCCTAAATTTAGTATTTCCTATTTTGAATATTTCTTTTGTTTCCTTAGGATTGTTATTTGGAAACATAGATTTCTGAGCTCATCCCATTTGTCCAGATTGATTGCTTTTATAATTTTGTGTTATTATCTCTTTATAAGCAATTGTACCCATGGATATTCTCACATGAATAATTTTTAAAATGCCCTTCTATAGATATGTAGGAATTTTATCTTTTTATTTGATTTCTTCCCTTAATATATCATTGCAAGCCTACCTTCACTTTCTTTTGTAAGCCACCACCCATCTCTTTCTCCTTTCCAAGTTTCTTTAGAGAAACACCTCCATGCTTGCTACCTAGCAGGCTGCACCTTCTCTTTCACTTTCTTGATAACAGTCCTCTCATATTCTGGCTCATTAAGTAAGGCTTTCGTAATTTGAAGCTTTCTTCACGTGGTTCTCTTGTGAATGTGTTTCGGTGATTCAGTAGAAGCTAGATGACAAGGAAGACCTCAAAATGTTTTTTGTCATCATCTTTGCATCTTGTTAGATAGAATGGGCATGTAAAATAATTCTGTGTGTGTGCACATGTGTGTTTGTGTGTACATGTGTGTGTGCACATGTGTGTATGTATGTGTGTGTCAGTCATGCCACACAGATGGCTAAGAAGAATACCAGGTGCCCTCCTCTGTTGCTCACCACTTTAACTCCTTGAGAAGGTCTCTCAGGAACTTAGGGTTCTGGAATTTTCTTTTTCAGCTGGGCTGGAGACCAGCAAGACCCAGCTGTCCACCCACCTTAAGGATGTTATGAAAATAAAATGAAATACTATGACTGGAAACGTCTTCAAATTCTAACAGAGTGCAATATGTGACATAGTTATTTTAATGTCTTCATCACACACACACACACACACACGAATGTCACAAAGGTTTCCCTGCGTTTCAACTCAATATTTCCCACAGGTTCTATTAGAGCAATAGCAGGAAACTTTTAGGCTTCAGCCCATATTCCACCCACCAGATTTCATATACAAATGATTCCTGTCCAACACAATGCTTGGCAAACTATTTTTTTTTTCAACATTTTCCATCTGTTTACTAACTGTGACCTCTTGTGTTCGGTTCCTTGCTTTACTGGCTGACCATGAAATGCATCTTGTCACTTCTCTTTTCCATTTTGCCTAGGCAGCTGTCACGTACCTGGAACACTGCTCCCCACTGCTCTGGCTGCCTGTCTCTCCCGTGGGCTCCTCTTTCCCTCTACTGGCTGCCAAGGAGAAGCACATTTATTGGCCTTGCCCCCAAACAGATGCCTGTCTTGTTCCCTTCCCCCTTTCTCTTCAGTCAAAAGTCACCTGCCAAGGGCTGGTAATTGCTGCCTCCCTTGTCCATTGCCTCACATTGCCTCGGTTCAGGTACCTCTCTGCAGCCCCTCCTGAAGTCCCCTGGCCCTGTTTGCCAGCCTGGCATGCCCGCAGCCTCCCTCCAGTTCTTGCAGCTTTTTGGTCTCCTTCCAGACTTCCCCCACCCCGCTTTGAACTTCTCTCAGTATCTTGCTCCGGTCCTTGTCAGCCATTCACCCGTTCACCCCCCGGGGTGGGGGAGCTGCTTCCCATTTCCTAGGCTCTCACCCTTGCTCCGCAGCTGCCTCCTCCCCAGTGCCCTCACCTCTTTTCTCAAATGTGTTAATGAGCCTGTCTTTGGAGTTTCAGCGTTTACAGTGCGTTCACCACTCATTTGAAGGGGGCACGTTCATGCCATGCCGATTCTGTAGTTGACTGGTCTCCTAACTAAAATCCCGTGCTGATTGCCCGAGTCTATTAGGCAGAATACAAGGATCCTGGGAGTTATCAGGCCACAGGATTAGGAGACCCGAACAAAGTTTTAATAGCAGGTTTGCCATCTCCATCTTACAAACTTGGTCAGCCCTGGTTCCTGGCCCACACCATCAAGCAACTCACAGGAACCCGAGTGTTGTTCTGATTTCCAGCACCAGGGTTCTCTTTGAATACCTCAAACTAAGATGCCAAATACTCTTCAAGACCAGGCCTGGGCTGCTCCTTAGCTTCTTATAGGGTCCACAGCCCAAGCCCCACCCAAGCACTGGTTGGGGAGGGGAGCACTTGCTTTTAGATGTGAGGGCAGGGGGGTGGGTGTGGGGGAGATGTAGGAATAGATCCTCCCGGGGGAATCCTAGGCGTGAATCGACCTTCTGGATGAGGGCAGGCAATAAGGAAAAAGAGTTCATCACCAACTGGAGCCCTGCTCAAAGGCCCGGTTTCTAATCCAGGGCTCCACACGGTAGCCAAGAGGGAGCCTTTAGGAACCGTCTCCTTTAAGAAACGCGCCTGCGTGTGTTTCGGGCCTTGTGTACTCGTGTGTGTGTGTGTGTGTGTGTGTGTGTGTGTGCTTGTGTGTGTCTAGGACGGAGCGTGCGCGCGCGTGTGGTTGGAGAGTGTGCACGCGCGGGGCCCCCAGAGCTTCGCAGACCCCCGAGAAGGAGGAGTTATGTAGATTACGGGTGAACATTCTGGAGGGGGAGCGGAGAGGAGGGAAGGAGCAGCAGAGTGAGCTGGGAGCGGCGGAGGCCCTTCCCGCAGAAACTGGGGGCACCGGCGGCGTAGGAGGTGGAGGAGGTGGAGGACGCACGGGCTGGAGGCGGCGGCTGCGATTCGGCGGCGCTGGGAGTCGGGAACCGCGGCTGAACTTGGGCGCCACGTTCCGGGCGACAGCAGGGAGAGGATGGTGAACGCTCGCCACCGCTGACCCTGCTTTTCCTCAGCTCCTCCCCGGCTGCCGAGTCCCCGCACTGATCTCCTCTCCTGAAAGGGTGGGTGAACCTGCAAGCTCCCTACCCACCCGAGGACTTTTTTTTTTTTTTTAAAGGAAACGAGGGAGTGGGCATTGGGAAAGAGGGAGAAAACGCAGGGGAGCTCGTCCATCCGTGGAGGCACAGTTCACTATGATCTTACTCGCCTTCAGCACTGGAAGAAGGTTGGATTTCGTGCATCGTTCAGGGGTGTTTTGCTTGCAAACCTTGCTTTGGATTTTATGTGCTACGGTCTGCGGAACGGAGCAGTATTTCAATGTGGAGGTAAGACTACAGTGCTTTCTTCCTCTCCCCTTGCCTGACTGCTCGCTGGAACCTTTCCTTCGCTCGCCGGTCCTTGTAGCTCGGAGCACATTGTTTCCTTTGCAGCCAGCCACCGAAACCCATGTTGAGTTTGCCAGTGTTGTAGGTGATGGATGCCTGGAGACCGACAATCCGTTATCCCCAGCTGCACAAAGCACGGTGCTGCACGCTCAGAGATTCATTGTAGCGTGCTGGTACTGCTTAGCCAGGGAAGAGGCACAGCTCTATCTAGAGCCAGCGTGTAGTTTTATAAGAAAGCTTGAGTTTTTGCTGGATCCAGAGCTAGGGAAGCAGCCTTGATGGCTGGCATCATGTGCCGCCTGGGTATTGTTCCTGCAATATTTCTTCTTGTGGTCTGTGCCTAACAAAGGGAGGATAAAAATCAAAGATTTCAAGGAGAGCATGGGAATACTTGATATGCTTAATAACACCACTTTGTGATAAAACACTCGAGCAGACAGTGTCTTTCTATTAGACATAACTTAATACACTTGTAACTAGATCTAACTGTACAGAGCACATGAAATCCATTGCCTTAAGTGCCTACTCTCTCCCTTCCCAGGGGACTGGAAATAAACGTGGTCCCATCTAATAGTTCAGGAGGTGTGTTTTTAATTTGATTTCACGCTGACATGACAGAGCCTAGATGTCTTAGATTGCCATTTGTTTGACTATGATGATTTTGGGAACAGACAGCAGAAACAATAGGGAACTTAAGGATAAGGAGTTGTCAGACCTTTGCTAAAGTGCACTTCCTGTCATCAACTGAGCCCTGAAGCCAGTCATGTGCAGGAAATCAATGAAAGGCGTGCACACCTGGGCTCTGACACAGTTCCTTCCATTAGCATGACACCTAAGGTTGAGACTGTGGGAAGGTCTAGGTAAAACAAACTTCTCTTAAATAGCTATCATGGCTTCATCTATCTCAAAAGGATTAGGACTGAAACTGCACTGGTTGGTGTGATACTTGGGTTACTGTCCTAAAGCTTCCTGTTGTGTCAGGAGCTTGTGTTTACACAATAGCAGGACCTGTTGCACAGGGCTTGAGCATGTTTCATGCAACCGATTTATAAGCAAAGTGTTCATAATAAGTGCCATGTGTGCAGGCGGAGTCTTCTATGAACTGTCCTTCGGACTCCATTTAATGGAGCAGAAGCAGAGGAGTTGAAAGAGTAAGAGTCATCATCACAGGAATTAAGGAAGTTTGCAGATGTTAAGTAGAAATGCGTTTCAAAGGAGCAATTTAGAAACCAAAATAGTTTAACCCTTTGAAGCCCACAGCTTGATTTTTTTTTTTTCTACTTAACAACATCAAGGGAGAGAAAGCTTTCAGACTTTTCCTGATGGCAAATTTGAACTTTCGGAACGGCGTGCCACTATGAGTGCTGTGTTAACATTTAAACCAAGAGATGATTTGATTGAAATAAAATAGTGATTGATTCAAAAGCTGAAGGAATGAAAATGGAAGCAGTTGTTTATAATGTTATATACAGAAAGGGCTGTTGCTATGTGGTGGTAAAGGAGATTGTGGGGATAGGGTAAGGGGGAGGCACTTAGAGTAAGTGCTGGCTGGTATCTTGTTTCCTGTGGGAATTTGAGCCTGTGTGGATAGCTACCTGCTTTGGGAAACTCTAACTTACATTTACAAGATTGAATGACATCAGTGTTTTGATGATTGTTAGGTTTGTTTTAGCAGACTAAATATAGATTAGAATGTATTTCCTTTTATTGGAAGCTCTGTCTGTTCAACCAGATATTGTTACTTGAAAGAGGTTGAGGTACTTTTGTAAAAAAAATAATTTCATATTGAATTTCAAATATCTCTTTCTGTCTCTCAAGATTTATGTGAAGGGCAGTTCACAGAGTCACTCTCCCGTTTGGGGGGATATTTAAGTTATTCCAGCCATGTTTATTGCACAATGCAAAGATTTAGCTGGCACTAAAGAGTCATGTGCCCTCTGAGACCTTAGCAAGCTTACTTACCACAAAGGGAATTTTCTAATGATTTATAGGAGACTGTGCTTCACAGTTTGTATTATTTCCAGGTAGCTTTGTAAGCTGTTTAGCACTGCTTCAGTTGGATTTCTAAGCACATGTGTGTGTACATATGTATGTATGTATATAGTACTATAGCTCATAGTAAACACATAATACAAGTAGCTGTTATTAAAATCAAAATATTATACACAATAATAGGGCATTTTTGACTAGTGATTATGCCTGTTGAAAGCTTACTAGATGTTTCTTCTAGATATTTTTTTTTTCTAATAGGAAATGTTAAGGGAAGAATATTTCATTTCCAAGAGAAAAGACTATATGCTCTATAGTCTTGGTTGCAAAACATACACACTGAGATTGCTTAATTTCATTGATTCAAAGACAATCATTTCTTAAAAAAAGAGAAAGAGAGAAAAGCAGTAATAGCATCCATTGCGCTTGAGACTCAGAGGATCCTGATTTTTATCCTGATTTTTTTTTTCTGGTAAACACACTAAGTTATTAAGTGGGACCAGAGCTATGGAGAGATGGCCTTTATGCTGACAACTAAGATTGCAGTGCCTTATACATTGCAGAACTTAATTTGTGCTTGTCCCATAGTTTTGTCATGATTTAAAGTTAAAAAGCCTGTATTTTTTCCCTGTAGGAGGGGTTGGACAGAAGTATTCATGTTAATTCTTTCCTGTTTGATTTTTTTTTTAAGCAAATAAACATTTAGAGGATTCGACTTTCTGAACGGGTGCCAGATATTTTTAGATATTCTAATGGCAGTTGATGATAAATCTACATTTTTGAGTTTTTCAATAAGCAAATAAAGTATGTTTTAAATCAAGAAGCAGATACTATCGAACGTAGTACTATGGATGGATCCCCTCCATTTCTCAACCCCTCCTTAAGTTGTAAGTGAACATTCATTCGCCAAGGTCTCTCTGTAGTCATACAAGACTACTTCTGTAGTCTTGAAGTGGTCATAGTCTAAGTCACCACCTTACAAAGCAGTAACATGACTAATATTAACTGAAAATCAAAGACTGCTGTCACTGGATGATACTCTAGCTCTGAGGTAAATTATTAACAAGGAATTGTGATTTAACTCCTACACTCTTGAAATTATTTCATCCTTAACATCATTACTGGGAACTGGAGAGTTTCATGATTCTGGGGCTAATTTTTGGGGTACACACATTTTTTGTTATAAAATTTGAAATACATTATAGTTCATGATGGCAATACCTTATCAATTTTTATAGAATGCCATATATATGAGCATTTCTAGTTTGATTTTTAAACAATGATACATGTTTGTAAAGAAGGAAAACATTTAGAGGCAGCTTTATAGTAAAACCTTAAATCAAAGAAATAAGATTCTATGATCCATATAAATCATTCATTAAAAGTGTTATGCATTGTGAATGAAACTATTTCTTAAATTGTCTTGTAGTTTGTTTATATAACTGGTTGTTATCTGACCAGAGTTTTCAGGCATATCTGACCTATCTAAATAGTCAAGGTTTGATTTGGGTAACTGTGTGCTGCATTGGAAATTGCCAATAATTGATTATGAGATGCTTTAAAAGATAGAAGTGCTTCTGTTTTATAGATCTAAAATTCTGTATATTGAGATGCTTTATTCTTATTTCCTGGTTTCTATTTGCTTAAGTGTTCAAGACTCATTATTTCATTTACTCATAAAAACTTGTCTTCATCCAATCTCTACCCTCAGCATTCTATAAGTAGGAGCAGCTGATGACTGACCTGCAACCGCGTTCCTGTGACTAATTCATAAATGTGTGTATCTGCTGTCAGATTGTAGGCTGAATGAGACACTCCACATGTTTCAGAGGGCCAAAATCTATAACCAAAGGACCAGGAGTTAGCAGTCTAGAGCTCCTCCTGCTTCTTGCTGTGTTTCACTTTGTCTCTGACATTCTCTCTGGAAGTTGCCTAGACAGGTTTTGCCCAAATCTAGAGTTCTTTAGGAATCCTTTCGGGAAGGTATACAGACACAGGAGACATACTTGTCCTGACATCACCTAGCAAAGAACACTGAGACTTGTAGGTCCCTGTCCAGCTGGATTTTCTTTTTCAGACCTTTCCAGAAAATAAAGATCAAGTTAGATTCAACATCTGTTTTGTTTCCTTTAAAGTCACGTTAAAAGTGATGTATTGAAGTTTCTACTATTTCTCATTCAGGATATGCAGTTACTAAGTAGAAAATCTTAATGAATGAACTTGTTCAGATTACTACTAATTTTTCTAAATTTTGATTAGTGCTGTTACATGTGAATTTATTTCGTTTTGAGGCCCTCTGCAGCTCCTCACAATGTACATGTTCTGAAGATTTCTAAATGGCTCAGAATATTTTCAGGCCAGAATGATTATCCACTAAAAATCTGACTCCATGTGTTGGATTTATTAAGTGTTGGAAGAGAAAGATTTATTTCCTCATGTTCCTTTGGGAATGTTCTGACCCCATTGCCTGTGAATTTTAATTGTACAAGTTCCTTTTCTCATTACTTCCCACTACAGTTTATTTCAGTATCTGTGGATGTAATTATGTCTATTACATTGTCTTTTGTGGAGTAATGTTCTTACGAAGAACACGCGTCCTGAGACTGGATTTCCTGACTTCTATCTCATTGTGTCTGTGGGAGTACTCTTCAGTCTCTGGAAGTTGCAACTCACATATCTGAGAGATGAGGACACTATTTGATTTATAGCTTGTTTTGATGATTGAATGAATACTGTATACCCTATGCATGTATGCATGTACATTGTTGGAATCATTTTCTTGCACGGTTAAACACAATACTCTTTATCTTTCTTACTAGTTGTAAATCAGTATTGATACAGAGGACTTTGACACAATGGCAACAAATTACATAATAGTCTATCAGGTTATAACATGTCAACGGGTCTGAAAGGTTTCATTTAAGTATCTTTTCTGTTTTTGTACTATAATG